CGCACACGCACGCACACACATACACACACACACACACACACACACATGCATACAGGCGGGGTGTGTGTAAGGTTGTGTTTGCGTGTGTGTGCACGTGTGTGTGTGATGCGCGGAGAAAGGAGTGCGTTTTTTTTCCTCTCTCTCTCTCTCTCTCTCTCTCTCTCTCTCTCTCTCTCTCTCTCTCTCTCTCTCTCTCTCTCTCCCTCTCTCTCTCTCTCTCTCTCCCTCTCTCTCTCTCTCTTTCTTTTTTTTCCCAAACGTGCGTGCTAAGATTCGGTCCCCACAGCACCTCGGCTCCGCACCGCCAGGGGGTCGAGTGCGCCGCAGTTTTCTTTCGTCTTCTCAATATTTCATCATGCTAGCGTGTGTACCCACTTACGGGCTAAATGAAGTGTCAATAATTGCATTGGGGTCACAGATGCACTCTTTTTTTCCCTCTTTTCTTGCAGTCCTGCGAGCATACACGCATAGTGTACACATGCACGCAAGCACACGCGTACTTCTATGAACAGAAACGTGTGCATGTAACACAACCTACCCATATACATATGGATATATGCGCACACATATACGTACACACACATACATACAAAAGAATAAAGAAAGATATAGAGAGAGAATTAGAGAGAGAGAAAAGGGAAGCGAAATCAAAAAGAGAAGAGAGGAGAGGAGAAGAGAAGAGAAGAGAAGAGAAAAGAAGAGAAGAGAAGAGAGGGGAAGAGAAGAGAAGAGACAAGAGAGACAAGGCAAGAAAAGAAGGAGAAAAAAAGAGAGAAAACACAGAAGAAAAGAGAAAGGAGAAAAAGAAGAAAAATCCAGAAAAAATACTAAATACTAAATACACATATACATACATAGACATATAAATAGATAGATAGATAGATAAATAAATAATCCCACCTTAAAATGGCCGAGGTTTTCCACCACGCAAGTCAGTTTGGCTGTTCTTCCAACCCTCGCCGTAACGTTCTGGACTGGGATCTCGAAGTACGGTGATTCTGTTGAGGAAGAGAAATGAGTTAATAACACCGAGTCTATAATCTCTTTATTGGGTCCTTGATATACGTGTCTTGAGCGATGTACTAGGATATGCTGTGTGTTTATGGGTGGTTGTACGTTTGTGGTTGTGTATTTATGATGATTAAAGGAAAAAAAAAATGTATCTGTGAATTATATTCGTCTATTAAATTATTTTGTCTGTTTGTTTCTATTTTTGGTTTAATGTTTATTGTTATTTATTTTTCTTGTGCAGTATGTCATAATTCGTATGTACAAGCGGCAACAATAACAACAATGACAAATGAACTGTTTACATGATTTTGAAAATCCTTATATTATTCCACCAGGCTTTTACTGTGAGACCTGACGTTCGAGTTGCCACACTTCCATTTTTACGTTACAGATGATGCTATGGCGTAATGATACCGTTAATGGGTTTCCCGTCAAGATATCTGGCTTGAATTTATCTGTCTAGATCGTTTTTAAGATGCAGGGTTTAACAGTCTCACTTTTCCTGATTACAGTATTCATTCTCCGTCTCTGTTGCTGTCTATATGTTTGTCAGTAGGTTTGTCTATTTGTCTGTCTGTCAGTCAGTCTGTCTGTCTGTCTCTACCTGTCTTTGTCACTCTCTTTATGGCTGTCAGCGTCAGTCAGTCCGTCATTCAGCTTGTCAATCAGTCAGTCGGTCAGCCAGCTAGTCAGTCAGTCTGTCTGTCGCCCTCTCTCCCTCCCTCGCCTTCACCCTCTCACTTTCTTTTATTCACCTTTCTCTTCTTTTCCCTTCTCTCTTTTCATTCCTCTCCGCAGCCATCCACCACAGAAATTCTGACCCCTACTTAAGGAACAGTTCATTTTAGAAGACTTTCTCGCTAACTTTTATAACAAGAGACTATTCAGCCCATAACTTACGAAACGGGACAAACCCAACCCATAACTAGGTTTATATAATATTATACTTGGGGGGAACTTAGCTATGTTAATGATATGTTAAACCGCTGATGTGAAAGCATCATGGAGAGAAAAAAAAAGTAGAAGAAAAAAAACTTCGTAGGTATTTTTCGTTTATGTATGATAAATCAACAAGGGACGATTTTGTTAATACATAAATTCATGCCAGGGTGTAATTTGCTTCGTTTTTTCTTCTGTATACCAATGAATGACAAGAAGAAGAAGAGGAAAATGATTTATGTATGACGCGTAGCAGAGTCAAGAATGACTATACATTTTTATCCATTTATCTTCTTTATATCTTCTTTATGTACTTTACTTCCCAGCGATTTTTCCCTTTCTCCCCTATTTTCTTCCTCTTCCTATGCCATAATAGTAGATATTAGGCCTATTATTTGGCTACTAATCCTATGTAATACAGTTTACCCTTATACATTAACATTAAAATACACATTAACCGTCTTGCTCACGCCCTCTTAATCCGTCGTTTGACCAACTGCCAGGCTTTATAGGCCTAGAGATGCTAATGAACTTTGAATATTTATGAAGT